TCCCTTCATCGATATATTTACCATTTCGAGGTTTTTTACTTCGTTAGTTTCCATGGGGAAAGGAGAGAGGGAAGGAGATAAAAATTTAGTAAACAAGCCCCATGAGAAAAATGACTATTTTTTTTTATAGATAACTTGTCGAGCTGATCGATGTAAAGTATCGCAAATAGAAATAGACGAGAGATCGGGAATGATACGCCTATAATTTGCAGGCAGACCACCGCCGGTATCAGCTACGCATGATACGTACCATTTTACCGCCGACCATTATCTCCCTTTTGTTATGCCGGCTCTAGCGAAACGTAATTCAATTCTTCGCCGAGATTCGAGCCATTCGGCGTCCACCCGCCTTTTCACAGCGCGGCGGTCTTTTCATCCAGCTGAATTCCCGAAGGATACCGTTCCCGAGTTGCATCCCGAAGCACGTACTGTATGCGTAACAGATATTTTTCTGTAACAAGCCCGCTCGTGATTATTTCATGCCTCTATTGTACATCTGAAGAAGAACGAAATCTTTTACCGGCGAAATTTCAAGCGCCACGTGAAATAGTGCTTCGCTGGCGTTTAAAGCGGATGATGTTAAATGACGATTGAGAAGACAATCTTTCCGATAACATATCGAGATTGATAACGCACATATAACAATGAGAACATAAATAATGATTGGATGTCAGGGAGATAAGCGTAGTGGAGAATAAACGTGAAAAATTTATATTTTAAATACTGATTGAACGATAGAACTGCGAGTAATATGACATCACCGAAATGCATTTCGGGAATTCATTTCAGAGTTTCTTTTTACGAATTGTGAAATTGGAACAATTTATAATAATTACGTTACGAGATTGTACAGATATTATTCGGAAATTTTTGATACATTCTGTTTCGAATATATTGCGCGGCTGTGCACGGGCAATCGAAAATTTACGGTATCACTGAATCGTGCAACAAGCGTATTTCAACGGGCGCGCTCGGGATTGACCAAAACAATGCAACACGCGTGTTTTACATTAATGCAAGCGTAACTAATGTGCCAACGTCTCTGTTGTGTGCGAGTGGCGATACCAGAGATATAATAATAAACCGTTTTACTGCCTAAGCATAGCTGCTATTTGATTAAACCTGTATGCGACCTGTATTCAACTGCAACGACCATTCTCCGCCTCAGTCAGTTCTCAATTAACTTCGACGAAAATAAATATTTTATTTTTTTATGGAGGCCAATAGAGAGAAAGTTCGCTCCGTTAAAAAAAGTAAAATATTTATGCTCGCTTAAGAAGCTACTTGAATGTAAAACAGACACGTTTACGTTTTGTATTGCTACACTGGCGTATCTTTACGAGCTTCCGATTGTGAAACGCGAATCGTTTGCATGATATATCGTGCAAGCAATTTTCTAGAAATTCTGCGTAGCGCTCTTAGATGCACGTGCGCATTCGATCAGAATCCGACTATTTATAAAAAGAAGATAATCCGTTTTTACGTTCGACTTGTCTGTAGCTGGGTGGGAATTATGTGCACTCGTTAAAACTCTCGTATTTGCGCCCCCGCTCGCAGGATGGAAATTTTTATTGCACGACTTATACTGCGCATTGAATGTTTTATGCGATCATGATGACGTTCGACCTCGTCAATCGATTCGTAATAAAATCGTAATAAAATTACATTCGCTTCTTTTTGTCGTAGCTGCAAGTGAAACTTAGCTGCACTTAAAAGGGCTTATAACTGCAATTAATTGAAGCAATATTTATTCTTTTATCCCTTCGATACGTTTTACATTACTTTGCGCGTATTAGTTTGAGCAAATTTCTATTGAAACATCGGATTACACGCAACCCATCTCCGATTATGACCGAATCTATACGGAGAGAATTTTCTCTTAAAATTTATCCTGAAAATCATGTGATCGTGGGACAACATGGCATTGAACTTTATGGGAGCTTTTTGAAATTTTACAATACATCCACTAGTAAAATGTATTGTAAAATTTCAGAAAACTTTCATAAAATTCTTCGAA